TATCTGAATCTTTTTGTTCTGGAAAGGTATACTTGAATGTGCACTAAAATATGCGACATTCCATTTAAAACACATTCTGGCATTATTTTCTAAATGGAATTTTCCATATTTTATTACTTATTCGAATATACTCTTCGGAGATAAGATTTGTATAACATACTATAGCATTTAGGCCCGTATCGTCAGTCGTCCCTACAATTGTAGGGCGCGTTTATGGCCGCCTTGATTGTCATACTCCTGTCTCTCCTTAAAAAATTTCTAGATTACACTTGTCCCGTGTTAGCGTCAGCGCTCTCCTATTGTGAAGATATGTTTTCTTTTTAAATTGTAGGAAATTTCAGGCTGATAAAACATGATATAACTCAAAAGCAAGCACAATTTGATGCAAATAGATGTTTGTGACATAACCTCAAAATAGAGTTCTGACACCGAGAAGTAGAAAACTATGACAATCAAGGAGGCCATAAAGGCGCCCTACAATTGTAGGGACGACTGACGATACGGGCCTTAGATAATTAGTTTTGATTTATAAGCGATTCAAAGCACAAAACGCCCAAATTTGACAGATGACTGCTAGTCAGCCATATTGAAAGGTAGCGATATATATTAAGGTTATAAAGCACACATAAATTGCTTCAAAATGAGGTTTCACGAGATCCATTTTATTTGAAAGAATGTTCCAAGATAGGACCCGGTGGCCATCTTGAAATTTTCATCTGCCACTTTTACCCTAAAATACAGGGTGTAATGTAATGTTCATTTTGACAAAAAATAAACCTTTCTCCTTCACATTTCCAAGTTTCTTGTTTACATCTAGAAAATCAATTGAGTTAGAACTACGAATGCACATTTTATGAAGGAATATATAGGGGCACTGGAGATTGAAATGTCCGAACTTCACTCTTATTAACCTATATCATTAAATCAGCCATACAAATTCCAAACATACCAACCATTCAAACTCTGGTGTAAATCAGTAGAGCAAATAATGAAATAGTTAACCTTTTCTCGGGGAGCCCATAAAACTGTCAAAAACGAGAGCTAATCTTATCTAGGATCTGTCTAGTGCTGACCGCGCAGTAATATTTCTTTTGGAAACCCTTCCAATTAATTTTGGAATAGTCATGAAACAAAGCGTGAAAAATGTAAAATAATATTTTTCTACCATCGGGCTGAGCAGGTAGTAGAATACTCTAGGTCTAGGATATTCCGAGCCTTTATGAGAAACAATATCTAGGATATGGTTTTTTCTACATGGTGTGCCTAGTTGAATGATATAGTGCCATGCATACTCGTTACATAGCTGCTCCGTATTCACTGTAAATCTGATTGTGAGCATGAAAAAATATAATGGTTCACTATCTACGAGCCCCTTCCCACTTCAGTTGGCCCACTTCAAGATTTGTAAGAAAATATGCCTTTATAAACTAAACATGACGAAACTATTTACTTCTAAAACAATTTATTTTCTCAAAAACATTTTAGATACACTCTAGTCGTAAAAAATACATATTTTAAATCACTTAGACCTATAACTAATGGAACATCTGAACAAATAAACAATGTGCGAATAAATGCGCGAAGTTAACAAAGCAACAATTGAAAGATTACCATTACCTTTATTCCCATATTTCTTGAAGCTTTTGTCTCAGTTTGGTGATTGTACGTGCAGGATGTTGTCGTAGAACCTTTTTCATCTCGTGACATAAAGTTTCAATAGGTGACAGATCTGGACTGCTAGAAAGCGATTCTTATAAAATTGCCAAATATTTGTTTGTATCCACATTCCCATCAATAAAATGAAGTTTTCCTACTCCTTTTGATGACATACTGCCCCAGACCATAATGGATGCTGGAAATTTCACTTTATCTTCAGACAGTCAATATGGAATGCTTCATTTTTTGCGAATAACTCTACTGCGACTGTCACCAACACAAACTTCGTATCGGACCTCATCACTCCATTGTATTGCACGCCATTGTTGAGGTGTCCATTGTCTATGTTCTTTAGCCTGTCTAAGGCGATTTTTCTTTTGCAGTGGAGTTAATAGTGGCTTTTCTTTGGCCTATAAACAAGTTGTGCAACTTTAGGGTTTTTACTTCACTTTTTTTTATAAGAAAACTTACCTTGCAAGTGCTAAATCCCAGTTTGTGGGCCTCTCTATGAGTTGTGGACCTCAAAATTCTCCTTCCAACAGCGTCACTCCACAGAGCACTTAATTGTAAATAATTGGCACGCCTGTTTTTCACGATTATTCTTATTAATGCTCTTCGGTCGGCATTTGTGATATTACTTTTTTCACATATCGGGGCTTAATATTAACTGAACCACTTTCGTTATATCTTCTAACAATATTTCTCACACTGTACCGCGATAAGCCTAACAAAGTTGGTATTTCTGAGTTTGAGTTAAAAAATCTAATTATCAGTAACCGAATTTTCTCTCTAATAACTTTTCCTCTACCCATTTTGAAAACCTTAACTACCCAAAACTATTTTAAACGTATTCTGACAGCTGTGATTAATAAAAACAATTGTCATAGCTTTTATTTTTCTCAGCCACCTATGCGTTATAGACTTATTTTGCACTGAAATGAGAATAGGTTGATATGCTGTAATTGCAACATGTGTTATTTTTATGCTGCAAATTTGATTAGGGAGTGATAAAGTTGGTGTTTTCTACTATATGTATATTATCAAGATATTCATTGTTAATATTTTAAACCTATAACACCCTGCTACATTTTTATTATTTGTGTTTGATAAGAAAAAAACTAAGATTTCAATACTTGGGCCAACTGAAGTGGGAAGGGGTTTGTATAGTCAGAATTGGGTTTTCAATAGATGAAACAGATTATTAACATTCATTTTTCAAGAATCCTGCGCTTTATTCTCGGTCTGAAAAAAAACCTATTTGAGATTGCTACATCATTCAATAGCGTTTGCTTTTATTCTAATAAAAGTTAGTCCTTACATCGGACGGCCTAACGCTTAGCTTCCATGGGGCAGGTTTTAAGGGCAGGGTGTGCCAGAACTTACGTCACGTTAATTCTTATTACGACACAGTTTTGATGCAAAATTTTGCGTGTGAACTTTGACGCGCAAGTTTTGTCATTCTTCGTTCATAGAAAAAATGAAAACACTGAGAATACACTTTCTGGAAGCAAAATATTGGCATTTCGTTGGGATCAGTTTTGCAAGTGTCCCATTGTTTATTTTTCCATACAAAGTCTTTAAGGGACCAATTGAAGATATACATTCTTAAGGATTCAATCATAAAATAAACGATTACATTTTGCAATTATGGGAAATACTGTGCCAATTTAAAATTTGGGAATACACTTGTAAATAAATAATTCATAAAGGAAATAGGAGAAAGTAGAAATCTTTTGTAACAGTAACAGGTGTATACAAAAAATTTCTTATATTTGCCTGCATTTCTACCTGCACCCCAAACTCTATTCAAAGACGCCATAAATTCTTAAGGGTACGGTATTCTTAGTAACATTATATAGAGGATTGTGGAATCCGATTTCAAAAGTAAAACGAACATACTGTCTTGATCACTAAGAAATATAACAACTAGTCAGTAAATTACAGATTCACAGACAAAAATGTTTTATAATTTTGGGAAATCACTTAATAGTATGGATGTGAAATAAGTTGACTGCGACGCTCTCATTGGTTCATAAAAGATTACGAAAATGTCTATCGAAATAAGACATCACAAAGTACCATCTATTACTAGAATGAACCACTGCGAGAGTTAAACAACAAGCTGCCTTTTGGAACTACGAAAATGTCTATCGAAATAAGACATCACAAAGTACCATCTATTACTAGAATGGAACACTGCGAGAGTGAAACAACAAGCTGCCTTTTGGAACTATCTCCCAGTTCGCATTTGACAGACACCACTGTAGCGGCTAGATGCCGCAGATTCTGACAGTGGTTGATTCTGGTAATAGATGACCCTTTGTGCTGTCTGATTTCAATAGAGCTTATATCCTGGATAGAGGATAACTGAGCAACTGCTCAGCTCTCGTTCGCTGTCCTACCTAAGACCAATCCTAGACCATGCTGACGAGTTGCCAAATAGCACGAAACAGCTGTCCATGGATGAACGGTTGTGGTCGGACGGACGAAAATGTATACAAATTGCATTAAACGCATCAAGTCAGTAATAGAGCCATACGAGTCACCAGTCAAGCGGAATCGCCCAGCAACCCTTGTTGCTTGAGTCAATAGACTACACAGTCGAGCAAGTACGCAAGCACACAAGACTGCGCACTGTGAACAAGACTATTTTTTTCCAAATACATGTACACTTTTCGACAAGAAACCTGAAACTTAATTTAAACATTCGTAAGTGTTAGAATGCTGAGATACCCTTCCAAACCGACACGTCCTCCTCTTACCTTCTGTGTCAAAATTTCATCAAGAACCGGGTGGCATTTTCCAAGTTAATAAAGATGCCAATAATCAGCGGACAAACGGATTGACCAACGGAAACGAGTGACAATGGTTTTTCCCGATTAAAATATACTTCCAGTTTTTTTATAAAAAGGTTTTGACAGCTACCACCTCCGGAAAAAAATTTTCACGGTGACTAACTAACATGATTTGAGTGCTTAGCATAAACATCTCAATATATATAGTTGACTTCTACTAAACGAAAGACTATGAATTGCGTGTCTTCTCGCAAGATCCCTGAGATCCCAAGTCTTTTCAGAACTCTGTATTTTCTTAAATGCAAAATAGAGTAAAAATTCTTGAACCCCATATGATGATTTGAGCCACAGTTTTGATGCTTCACAAGTCGACTTATTGATTGTTATCAAAACGACCCGTAGAACATCTACCTTTATTCCATACTCATTTGTCAGTATGTGAGTTTGTCAGGATGTTGGTTTTGTGTTCCACACATCAGAAAAAGGAAAAGAAAAAAGAAATAAAATAGAAACAAAGGAAAAGGTAGAACAATAAAAATAAGTGGTTACCCGCAATTTCACTGCTAACCGGAAGTTAAGCCTCAAAAAGCATTTTTCAATATCAGGTTTGCTCTAACCTATTTATTTATATTTATGAGAATCACGAAACGCACAGAACACGATGATTCAGATTTAGAAGCGGCGTTGCCACATCAGTGATCAATCAATTAACTAGAACTTGAAAAACAAATTGTAGGCCAGCTTATAGTTAACTTCGAAGTAATAGTTACCCAAACTGAAAATTAACTTGCGTTTGGAAAACCGGGCGTTAGAGTGTAACATTTAGAGGCCAAATCCCAGGCTGTCTCAAGAACCAGTAGGCTAGTCCGGGCCAGAACACATATTGCGCAGCTCAAAGGACTTCTGCGAGAATCTTATCAGCAAAATCCGTGATTTCGCCGAAGAGACTGTAACAGATGTGTAAAATTAGCACTTGAAATGAGATCCCATAGCAGAAAATGGAAGGATAATTTATGAATATGACTGCTACGCCGCGTCCTCTCATTGGATTTTATGGCTGAACTTCCCTAATTCTCCAAAGAAGCACGCGGACATCCTAGAGGTAATAACGTTGAGTTATAGTTCTTTTTATTTCTCAGAAATTGCCAGTATTAAACCTGCTAGATTTACTTGACGAACTCGACGAATACTTGGTGTAACTGTAAACAGTTTTCAATGCTGGACAGCGATGGAAAACACATGGAGTTTCAACATTTTCCAGGTACTTGCTCTGTAAAGTTGCAACGAGCTAAAGTAGACCATAATGATGATATGTTTAAGATTTGCGCTATAATGTCTTGGTAGAAATAACATTATGAGAACCTGTTTGAGCAAACGTGCCTCGTAATATTGAATAAATATCTGGAAGTATATATTTCAAAAATTATGCATACAAGTAATATTAAAAACGAGTAGTTCGTGTAATTTCAAAAAGCAAAACTAATGTAGAAAATTTGAAAACTTTTGAAATAAACCACAAAGGTCTGAGAATCTGAAATGCTCTAGAAGATTTGGAACCATTAGAAGATATCTCATGCAACTTTGTAACAAAGGGTCGAAAAATGTAATTAACCCTAGGTAAAAAGGTTTCCTCGTGAATGAATTATAAAGAAAATAATTGATCTATTACCATGAGCGCCCATTAGGGGGGGAGAATGCCCCCCTTGGCTGCCGTTTGAGAAGTAAAATATTCTTAATCGAGTTCCCGTTTCTTGGACAATCAGTGGCGTGTGCTTTCCTACTCATCAAAACAGCCCTACATAGCCACCACTTGTAACAGCCTGTAAGAATAACTTGGTCCCCTCTGAATTTTGCTGTATAAACTCCCATTTAGCTTTAAACAATACGACTACAGAGAAAAATAAACCCTTACTTGCTCGAAACAAACTCTTTCTTCACAGGCCTCTTAAGGATAGCTCCTAGTTGAGACTCCCTCTGTTTCTGCAACTTATATTCTCTCAAAGTTTTGACGTTGAGCGGAGTTTTGTGTTTCACTCGAAATATCCCGCGCACTTTTGGCTGTCTTTGCATTATCATCATGTACTGTCACAACTTTTACATAGGACACACCACTATTTTAAGAATTGTAATTTAATGCTAATCATTCAGTAATTTATGTTTAATCACCTTGCATCATCATTTGTGCATTTGAATCTTATTCGTTGGTGGTACAAAGTAGAAAGACTGGGTCTGAAACTAGTACTGACATGGAGAACGAAACCGAGTAAAAACTCAGTATCTACAAAAAACCCTTATAGTGTGTAGTTTCAGACAAGTTTGTATATATAGTGTGATCTAGAAAACAGTAGCAATATTTTTAGGGAGCAGAAAATACATCCAAATATAACATAAAAGCATAGTATAAACATTAACACAGATCCTAAAATCTCCCCGAAATATAAATCTCTACGCCATTGATGGAATTTATGTACAGGGTATCCCAGAAATCGACGTCAAGCTGGAAACGATTGACCAACTCATAAAAGTTATCAGAAAACGCGACGTAAATTTTTGTTCATATTTTTCTGATAACTACTACGACTTGGCCTATCCCTCGTTTCAGGCTTGACGTCGACTTCTGGGACACCCTGTAGATATACCATGTTTATTTCTCAAACAACATTGTAGTCAATCCGTACGAATTTGCTGAATTCAGCATATTTCCAATTTTGCGATTTCACCGCAATTATTTAAACAAAGGACAGCCCAGACAAAAATTTCTCAAGAAAGAGAATTGACGTAAAATTAAATAAATTATTCAAAAATGTAAAGGCATCGATGCTTTTCTATCTTCTTTTGTAGAAAACAAAATATCCCAGTATGTGGGCGCCCGCAGGAGTTTTATCAAGGGTAGCCGATAACCGGTTAGAGACAAATTTTTGTGAAAGTGTACCTGCCAAAAAAGAGGGGTAGCAAATTTTCTCAGAGGGGCCAAGTCGCCATATACTCTGACTTCATCATTATTTCGCAGAAAAAAGAGCAATTCATGCTAGAAATATAAATAAAAGGGAAATTTTATGTTATTCAGCCTATTTAGTTTTTTCGGTAATTTTTAATCATTTAACCAACTAGACAGGAGTTCTTTTAAATCAGGCAAACGGCATTTAATATGCAATTCCACTAAATTTGACCTTCCAGATCAACTTGAAATCCACAAAAACGTAGTATGCAGGTCCGTTTAATTTTGTGATGCATTAAGTAAATATATAGTAGGGTTTCTACATGTTCATCATAATCTTGAATTGGTCTGAAGAGTCAAATTCAGTGCATTCGCATACTAGATGTCGTTTTCCTTTAAAGAAGGACTGATGTTTAAGATCAGTTGGTGGAATTAAATCATTAACAAATTACTGAAACATCTAAATAGGAAACATAACATTAATTTTCCCTGTTATTTATATCACGTGTTACAAAATACAAAAAAATTGAATCCGACCCTGGAATTTTGAGTTGCCAAAATATGTTCAGCACGATTTTCAACATTATTTTGTAAAATGTTGATGAAAATAAATTGATAATGATTGAAATTCTGACTTTTGTGTCACATAAACTGCTAAAACTAAGATATTTCAATAAACAAAAACTAAAAAACCAAAACCATTCATAAGCTTTTTTTGTACACTCAAACATTCCAATATTTAGCCTAAAAAGCGTTTATTTTGATAATAAGCAAAAAAGTTAAAAATTCCTGTGTTTTTTAACCGTCCGTCCAGTTTTATATTACGCCAAGGTTTATTATCGTACAAAATTTAAAAAAAATCTGTTCAATAGTGCCTGAGTTATGCGATATTGAAGATTTGGCGTTACCCTGTATGTATAAACTGAATTTAGAACTTTATTATTTCCAGATATGACAAGGTCTCGGTCCATATCACCTACCATTTGATTACGGAACACACCGTATAACTGCGTTATCCTGCAATTCCGTAAGGGGGCATTTTAGGACTTATGTTTGTATACTTGAACTTTGTTTTTTAGGCACAATGTTTGTCTAAACAATATTGCTCCTGCTATTTGAGTCACCCTATATGTCTGATTCTTTAAGTAGGGCAATATTTGAAACAGTACAAGTTTCTACAGTATATTCAGATAAGAGATAGACCGGATGTAAACAAAAGGTTCGGGTGATTTTCACGCTAACGCCGCCGTCTCGACGTAAAACAGGAGCCCTCATTGGTCAATTCGCAATTAAATGCCTATGCCGAGCGGCAGAGCAGTCGTATCAAGGCAGAGTCACATTCAGGTTCAGACGTATTACGTATGTCGTGTGCATCATTGCAATTTGATATTTCTTTGGACGTTTTCGTTTGTTATCTTATTAAGTTGTTGAGTTTGTCGTTGTTATTGTTATACCTTGTTATAATTATAGGCTAATTTAAACGCCATTTTGAGATTATATTCGACTGTACTTCACCAAACATCAGACGGCATCCGAAGCTGGAAATCGAAGCGAAAATTTTGAAACCCTTATGTATATTTACATCATTATATATTTCTTACCCCACCCCCACATGATCCTATATCCATCACCAATCGTATACACATCGAATTGTGCTAATTTACTACAAAGTTACGCAAAGCAGCATCTACTATCTAAAATATGTACTGCGTGACTCTTAATACGTCCCTGCCGATTATTACAGCGTTCGATGATCACGTGGTCTTGTTTATGTCCGGTCTATCTCTTATCTGAATATACTGTAGTGTTTTATCAAAGCAAATCAAATAAAAAAATCAGGATGCCAATTGTCGGTTATACTTTCTATTGATTAATTTTACAAAGTTAAGGTTAATAAAAGTACAACATATACCGAGTCAGCTGCAAGGTGGATATACTTATGCTCTCCTAACATTCAGGTTAAGAGAAATGTTATGTTATTTTTAATATACATACACCTATATCTAGCATCTAAGAGTACGTAATTAATTTATGGAAAAAAACATGTTTACTGTAATATGGATTTGGCGACATTAGATCTTGAGTTTTCAATATTTTTGGTACGCATGATATGCCATGTCTCGAAACTCTTCATTTGCAAAAGAAGTGGTGTTACGGTAATACTCGTACTACTGTCAATGGTTCAATCCAGTTTAGGTACTATATCAAGTCTCGATGAACTAAAGGAACTTAGATTACACTTCAGGAGAGGTTTTTTGGAATAATTTTGACCGACTCTCAATTAAAAAATATCTTTTGTAGATGGTAAAGTGTATTGTTGCCGATATTAGATTGGTCACATAACCACGTATACAGCTTGGGAATTAAACGTACCCTGTGGTACCCACCTGAAAGTGCTTCAGCCTCCGTGAGATTGAATTTAAAGGTGCCTCGGCCGTCACATTAAAAAAATAAATACACTTTACCATTATTTTCAAGATATGCTTTTTGTTTGTGATGTCAGTCAAGATTAAGCCAACACCTCTACCTATGAACTGGAACTGCATATAATCATCCATACGTGTCGGTCATTTTGTGTAATATAAACTGCAATAGAACCATGAGGTTCTATTTATATTGGGATCCCAGGGGCCTGATTCTAAATGAGTTTCGACAGTTGAAATTAATTTTGATGGCGCCTTGTATACATACTTGATTCGCTATGTCAAAATGCGAATCAAGTATACATCACAAAGTGCCATTGAAATCAATTTAAACAGTCGAAACTCATTTAAAATCAGGCCCTGGTTTTCAATAAGAACGCCGATGGGAAACTTTGTAATACCACAAAATTATCACTCACAAGCACAGTAACTACATAACTATCAAATAGTACAGTCAATAATAGGCATTTTTTTGAAAATCGACTAGTTTTTTAAAACGAATCTAAACCGAAAATCTATGTATATACATGTCGGCCGTCAGCGCGTCGGGTGGGTACCAACTGAACGGCCATGTGGCTTGGAGATGAAA